ATCGGGTGTCTGGGACACGTGCTGAGAATGGAACTCGAGTCCGTAGCGAACACTGCCCTACAGTGGACACCACAAGCGAAGAGACCACGGGGCAGGCCGGAGAGCACCTGGCGACGGCACCGTTCAACACCAACTAAAGACCATGGGGGGCCTGTCTTGGGGTGAAGCAGAGAAAGCTGCTAAAGACCATCCGGCATGGCGTGGGCTTGTTGCGGCCTTATGCTCCACAGGGAGCGAAGAGGAGCAAGATAGATAAGCTATTAACGAAAACCTACGAAGGACGGCACAGTACATGAGAGGTTGGGTGGCCAGCACCACGCTTTTGTTTCCCCAGTGGCGATGTTTACACGCTGTCCCGGGTGCTCACTTGAGGCTTGAGTCGACCTAGGGGAGGCCCAGGAACAGTTCAGATAATCTTCACTGGTGTTGGCCGTGAGAGGAAAGCGAACTCGTGTCACCTGGTTGGTAACGCAGATCAGTGTGCCGACTACTGCGCCACCGCTCCCCACACAAAGACACGCGCGGCTTGGCCCCAATGCTGGAACCAACCAACGGCTTAGACTCGGGTCACCCTGCTAAGCCTTTCCGCGCAAGGCACTGCGGTTTACACAGCGCACTCGCACACTCGCACACTCGCAGATTGCGCTCGGCAAGTAAAGGCAGCATTAGCCGTGTTCAATGGAACAGCGACAGGAGACTGTCAAGACCCAGAGCTATCTGCTTGGTAGGCCGTTTTCAGGCATCTGTTCTTCCGCCCGCGTGTGTTAATGGCCTATTATGCGCTGATGTACGTGCCAGCGTGCCGTAACGGTTAGCACACTCAATTTGCAGCGTCGTGCTCGCCGGTTAAATTCAATCTCCCGGCAGCAGTTTTTTATTCCCCCCCCCTCCACCCGCACCGCCACCATTGTAAAGCTAGCGGTATAAATAATTGGTCCAGTAGTTAGGCGGTCGGCAGGCAGGTCGCTCGTGGTGGAGTAAAGTGTGGGTACTCCTGCATTTAATCAAGATGCCGGGCCAGTGTGGAAAGAAAGGGGCTTCAGAGAGCCTCACGCTGATGCCTCTTCCGCCAGCAGCGGTGTGAGCGAGCAGTTGCAGCGCTGTGCCTTTAGCCACGCTCGCACCTGGGGCCAGGTTCGAGTGTATTGGCGAACTTTCCAAAACGTGGGATGTCCCCCTCCCCCCCCCATCAAGAGCGGTTGGAAAAACCGGCACCGGAACCTCTCTGCACACCAAATCCATCCCGCTCTCTTTCCGGCTCGGTGTTATTCTCCGCTTGGCATTCGTTGAGTTTCCGTCGTTTTGAAAATACCTGCGCCGTGCCGTTGAATCCGGGTTTATCGTAACGCCGAGACTGCGTACCGCGGGACGGGCGCGAGTTGCGAGCAACCAGGCGAGGCCGCGGGGCGCGTGAGGAATGCTCGTTAGAAATAATTGAAGGCGATGAGCTTCATGTTGCGTGGGCTTGGGGAAAGGGGCCCTATGGTGGTGATGATGATGAGGTCGTTAAGGCATGAAAACTCAGTGGTCGGGAGGACGGTAACTGGCAATGGTTCTCGGAAGTCTGAGCCTGCCCCGTAGACAAAAGTATAATCTAAGGCATGGAATTTTCACAACGGTACTGCCCGTACTTTGGGCGTTGAAGTTTGTCTTGGATAAAATCCCACTGCCTGGTTTAATTTATTCTGCCTGGCCACTTAACAAAACCAAGTTTTTGCCTCTTGGGCACTCTTGCCTATTCCAACAGATCTATTACAAGTAAACAAACATAAAGCATGTGCATAAAACCTCCGCTACTGTCACTTCTCTTCGCCGTGCAATTGCCATCGCAGCGTCGTTCTTTCATGACCGACCGAACCATCGCTCCGTCAAGTGTTACGACAGACGTTGTACGCTCGGCTGACCGCGCAAGAAAGTACTCGTGCGCGCCTGCCCGGAAGGAGATGAGCAAGTGACCGATAGTCGCTCCGCAAAGCCTTCCAAGGTCTCCCCTCCAAGGCAACTTGGCGGTCCCTCGCTAATGTCCGCCCCGGTCATGCCTGGCCACGTTCCTTCCGGCTTGTCGGGCAAGCGTGACCTTTCGGAGCGGTTCCCGTTGGCCGTTGCGGGCACGCGGCGACAAAAAAATGGAGAAGTCTTGTAGCCTCTGAATTTACGGCGCTGACCTCTTGGCAGCAGCTCCTCTGTCTCGCGTTAACGGCTCCTGCCACTTGACTCCCTAAGGCTTCCGCTGAGGAGTTCAGCGTCCTTGCAGCGTGTCTACTATTTTATTCCCCCCCCCCCCCAGGCCCCTCTCCACACTGCAGTCTGGAGTGTCTGTACCCTTGAAAAAGTTTCGTCAAGTCAAGGTGACCTGTTGGCTCGCAGGGTCCGAGATGCCGCCGCTGAGATTCTGGATAGAATCCAGGTTCCGACTGTGATTTAACCGGGGTTTCCAGTGTGCTGGGTTGGTGGTTTCAAACCACTCGCCGATGTATGTGTGTTGAACTTCGTTTGCACCGTAAATTGCCGACCGTGATAATTGGAGGTGTGGATGATTGCATGCACATACATACATACACACAATTATAATAAATTAGTTTTTAAACAATCGATTTACAAGAATGAAAAAATAGAGATTCACGGTCACGTGAACTATTTATATATCTGGCAGAGCGCAAGGGAATCGCAGCACTCCTAATGTGGACAAGAAAATGTAACCGGAAGGTATTTCAGAAATAGTTCCAGGGAAGTGTGGTTTCCTGGGGCCCGTTGTAGCAGCATCACGGTGTGATACGCTACTGTGCCATCATGTACATGGGTCGAGCGACTATCTCGCCACTGAGAGAAACATTTGTAAGAAAACGGGGAATGATTACAAAACAAAGAGTGGCACTGATTTAACCAACGAGCTAGCGTCTTCAGCCACTGCAGCGTTGATATGAACCGTGAGATCCCGCGGTGACGTAGGAATCGCAAACATCCGATTCTTGCAAATTATTTAGTGATGCTGCTGTGTTGGCAGTGGGGCACAAGCACAACTTGCAAACGACAACTAACCACGTTCGTCAAGAGACTCTGGAGTGTGGCCTCAAAAGGAGAAAACTGTCGAATGGGTGACGTTCTAGGGCAATAGCCCTTCTTCATAGCTCATGAATGCTAAATAAATGCGCACTTGAATTTATGTGCTATGCATAAGTGCCCGTGTAAGAAACATCGCCTATTATGTCAATAACGCGGTGTTATTGATGAATTCGTTTTTCGATTCTTGCAGCATGTGATTTGATGCGTGTTCTCATGAGCTTACGAATCAATATTGGGGAATGTACGCTTTGTTACGTCCACAGTAAACAGGGTTGCAACTCACCGATGCATGGATCCGATTCGACATGTGAGAATTGATTACATTGGTTTGCACAGTGTAAGCAAATTGTCACGCAGATTCGGCCGACTGAGTGAATGGGGCAATTTGTTAAGTAAAAGAGTAACAAATACTGCAAACGAGATTGGAAAATCGATGTATAAAACAATTATATTTTCAATTTGAATCAGGATGATTCGTAATCAGTTTTTTTGGGTCAGTTCATGTAAGTGTAATTACATAACACACCTTCACAACGATCTAACCCGAAAGAAAGGAATTACGAATCGTAGCATTGCTCGCGAAAGCCTACATATTAAAGATGGAATCGGGATGCCGAATCGTGACGGTGTGCGATATCGCTGGGGCCGGGTGTGGGTGGGTTGGTGATTCATCTTGTGCTATTAAGTCAACTTGTCATCGGGCTGAGCCAACTGGATTAGCCAAAGTGGGCCATAACAAAGTAGTGTTAACATCGTGCGGCGCAGACGGATATTTATACATTGCTGCCATCGTATTTAGAGACTCACACGACACGCGCATGTACGTCCGTACGTTCTCCCCCTTACATGGAAATAAATAGTTTTTTGCTAAGCGCCACTAAAATCCCAGAGCTGCTTTCACTTTCGAGAGCGATGTCTCCGTCTGGGTCGGCGTTTTGTTGCTGTCGTGTTTGACGAATTTAGTTTTTTACGTCGGGAGAGAGAGGAGGCGGAGGTTTTTGGAACAACGGTTGTTGTCGAGTCCACGGTATAACGGGGAACATGTCAACACCGTGGTTTTTTTTTTACTTCGGGCTTCTTAAAATGTCATGAATGTTCTTTTTTTTATGTTTTTTTTTACCTCGGCCTGTGAAGGTTTTTATCTGGAAGTCTAGAGGTTTTAAAGGATGATGAATGCACCAAAATATATAAAATCCTGATAATTGTTGGCACACAGCTCTCACCGCCTGGCTGCCTTTGCCGCTTGCCTGTGATCCCTCAGTGATTGTGAGATGCAAATTTGCACTCGCAAAATCTAAATAAAAAGTTAAAAAGGACTCTTTAGAAAAGTTTACAAATCCCATCGTCGTTTACGGTTGCACATGAGAATTTATAACAAGGAGGCAAAAAAAGCGCGAAACGAGAATCTTGCGTCGCGGTCTTTTAAAAAAGTTTACGATGTTGCTTAAACTAAATATAAGAGAGAGAATGTCTATATGTATGTATGCACGAACTTCCTTCGCACTGTACGTAGCCAACCGTGCTAATCGGAGGTGCGGGGGAAGGACAACAAACTAAACACAAAAACTGAAACAGAAGGAATTTCCCACAATTCTGGCTGTCGCCTGATGAAGCTGGTTGTAATCACCAGTGCAACGTCGTACTCGAATTGTCAACGTTGTGGGTTTACTCTCCAACACACCAGTGTGCTGAAGTAGTCACTAATTATCACGTTTTATTTACGTGACAAACCTTAGTAATTGGTTGTGGCGGGTTTGACAACACATGTATCATTGACGTGATCTTACCTAACAAAAAAACCTTCGTTACATATAAACACAAAAATCTGATGCGAAGAGATGAGTTTTCAATCTAGACGATTTAGAAGCGCACAGAATGTCGAGTGCGGAATGTTGCGAGGTTGCAAGCGCTGTTGTCGTGTCTGCTCTTGTCCCCAGCTGCAAACGGAAGACGAGAAGCGATGCTTCGAGGACGGGAAGGCTCGCTACATGCAGAACAAAGCCAAGCGCGACGCCAAGAAAGGGGGCAGCGCTTAAGGGGGGCCGTGGCGACGTGCCGGCTGTGCCCTTGTGAGGCTGCAGGGAACCTGGGTGGTTGTGTTGTTGTGCTTTAAATAAAGTTAGGCTCCGAACACACACACACGTACCAACCGACACTCGCACGCACACACGCAACACACTCGCACCACAGCACGCAATACACACACCACATTCGTAGAGATGAACCCGAGGTGGCGGAAGTGGGGGGGATCGCAAGGAAACCGGCACCCAACCCCCTCTGCGGGCCTTCAGGGGCCCGCGTCACTTGCGTGCCGCGTCACGTGTGTGCCGCGTCACATACGCGTGCCGTTTCGCGCGTGGCGCGCCGCGTCGAAGGTGCTGCCCAGCTGTGAGGGGGACAGCTCGGTGAGAACATCGTGCGCGCGAGATTTTAGGCGACCATGAGCAGCGTGAAGCATCTCTCGACAACCGCAGATTCCGTCCCGTTTAGTTTCGTCGTTAAGTGAAGTCGATCATCATCCCCCGCCGCCGCCATCAGCCCCTCCCCCCCCCCTTTGTTACTGCGGGGCCTTTTTCAATCCACTGCTGGATGGATTATGGCCTTCTCACGCCCCACGCGGGTCGCGGAGGTTCGTCGCATCGTGATTCACCGCGCTCGTCAGTGCGGGGTCGGCGAGGTGCAATAGCAGTGCAGCGCAACAACAACAACATGGACGTTGTTGCTGCTTCCGCGCACAACGTGGCGAAGCTTCGCCTGTCGCTCGTTCCGGTCGCCGGCCATTCCAGCAGCACCCCGGCCTCAGCCCCGATGTCTGACGGCAGATTCGGTCCTGGGCAACCATATTGAGGGCCGTCGTGGGCTGTGTATGAATAATTATTAACCATACGTGAGCCAATTAACAGAACCACTTTAGGCAGCTGCTGGCATTGATTGGATTGTCGAAGTCTCTGACTGCTGTTCCCCCTCCCACCGATCTTGGCGCCCCTCCACCCCAGCGAGAATCCACCCCCGTGTGAATGTCTGCACACAGACCCTCACACACACACACGCACTCACACACTCACTCTGACAGACTCTTACACGCACTCACACACAGACGCTCACACACACACAGACTCTCACACACACGCACTCTCACGCACTCTCACACGCACTCACACACTCACACACACACTCACTCTCACAGACTCTCACTCACACGCACTCACACACAGACGCTCACACACACAGTCACACGCACTCACAGATTCTCACACACAGACGCTCAGCTCACACACACTCTCACAGACTCTGACACACACACAGACGTTCACACACACCCTCACACACAGACTCTCACACACGCACTCACCTGTCATTGCACGAGAGGGAGACGACGCATCGGCAAGAGCCAAACGGCACTCCCCTTGTAGTTCACCCCCCAGAGTGCGCGTGTGTGTGTATGTGTGTGTGTTCCCCGCGCTGCCCTGACGTTGAAACTTCATGAACGAGAACAGCAAGCACGCTGTAGTAACGTGTTTGCGATTGGGGCCCACTACTCTACGTTGCTCACGATATATCTTGCTTAGACGAAGAAAGCGCTTTCTGGAAATATTATGATATGGTTGTAGACAGGCAAATCCTTTCTCTTTGCTTTCTCTCCTCTAAGTTGATGAGCGCACACTGGAGGTCGAAGACAGTTTCAAGGCAAAGGTGAGGCCCTGCAATGTCTCGCACGTGGTAACACTGGTGGCAGGAATGGCCTTCGCTTCGAGGGAGCTGTGCACACAGCCCATTCAGAAGCTCTTCCAATAATCACTTAAAAATATATTTTTGTTCCCAATTAACGAAGTTTCATATGCACTTTGGTGACAGTCAGGAGACACGGGCAGCCCTCGTGTGCGTCTACAGCAGGGGTCCGGCAAAGCAAAATAACAACAAGAGCCATTTTTTTAATCCGGTAAAAAAAAAGCCGCAGTATTTCAAGAGCCGCAGTGCACGTGGTGAGCGCGAGACGGTGTTCGTCACTAAATCGCTGTCACGAAGCAGTTCCTTAATGAGCCGCAGGCAATTACCGACCCCTGGTTTACCGGAATAAAATAGCCATGGTTTGGGCTGCGTCTTCCTATCAGCAATGCTGCCACTGGGGAGCCGGGCACTTGCATGGGGGCAGGCTACGGACGTGCGTCGGTTGTCAACCTGCGGTAACCCGGAGGCAGCCGCGGGGGCGCGCACCCACGGCCATCGCTTGCACGCAGCGCAGCCGGGTCGTGCGAGTGAAGATGCACGGCGTCTTGCGGAGTTACCCTCGCAGCTTCGCGGGCGGGCGATGGTTCACCGTCACTGCGCGCGCGCGTCTCCCCGGTCGCGATTTTCGCAGCCGCCGCGGTTCAAATGCGCGTGTCGCTCAAATGTCGTGGGGGGGGGGGGGACAATCCAGCCAACCTGCCGATGAGGGGTGGCCAAAAATTTGAAGAATAGAAATTCACGGCGGAACTTGCGGATGGCACGGTGAACGAGGTTTTAGTTGAGACGACTTATTTTGCGAACTGAAGCGCAGATAAATCAAAGGGCTATCGCACAGACATGTTGCGTCGGTTTGGGCAAACGGTAAGTATGACAGATCTTCAACTTCATCATGGTCAGCCGTGGTCAGTCCACTGCTGGATGCAGGCCTCCCCAAGTCGATCTCACCAGTCCATCTCCTCCTCGACTGTTAGGAAAAGAAAGCGTGTGTGGGCAGGACGCGTCACGAGATGATGGATCGTCGTTTTGATGGTCTTAAAATGATGATCGCGTAGAAATAGCTGTGGTCTTAAAACGAAAAAGATATCATAGGCGACGTTTCTGGTAATGGCCCTTCATAGCCTGTAATTTCAAGAATGTAACAATCGTCTTGCCGTAGCGGAAGTAACATGTTTGTGCAATTAGCCCAAAACGGACATTCCGAAAATCAAAGTTATTTAATTCTTATCGTTTTTATTTGCACATTTGGTATTGTGGATTTAAATACCCCCTTTGCATGTCATTGAGGTTTACGGGTTCTGAACTCCTTGTCATCCAATGAGGTTCACAAGTTCTGAATTCCAGATATGCAATAATCTCTCCTTGTTATCCATGGAGGTTTAGAGGTTCTGAATTCTAGATCTGCAGTAAGCTCTCCTTGTTATCCATTCCGTGGTCACCGGCACGCCCCACATCTGTTACCGTAACCACGTGCGTGGCGTTGACCAATAGCGAAAAAAGCTGATTTTAGCGTAAGTACTCAAATCTAGTTTTAATTCACGGTAGCGTGATTTGTTTAAATTTTTATTTAGTGTCATGAAACAAGCCAGTATTGTTTTATATTGAAAAAACTCCCTCGCCGTTGTAAACATTTACCTGAAGGATGCCGCACACTCTCAAAGCGTGCTTGCCAGCATCTCGCGGTGCGGTCACATCGAGACGCGCCTGTACGAATCGCACCACGCGCCCAATTCTCACGGCGGTTCTCTTGGCCCCTCCGATAGAAAGTCCACGCGGGGTTTCCATTCCATCGCTGCTCACACGAACGGCGGTCCGCCTCGCTGCAAGTCGACGCATTCGCGCTGCGAACGCGGAGGAATTGACACGCGGACGGGCGTCACGTGGGCATCGACCGTTCGCCACGCGCACACAAAGCACGCGGTGCGGCCTTTGGATGATGGGTTTCGACAGAGTTGAGCGGGAAAGTTGAAAGGCAAATACTCTATAAAATCGCGAAGTTAGAAAAAACATAAAACAAATCACGACGTTTCGATCGCAACACAAGCGGTCGTCATCAGGCAAAGAAGTCGGCCTCTAAAGGCAAACTGTTAATAAGGGTTTTATTTTATTTTCTAACTACGTGACTTTACCGAAAGAACCAAAGAGTGGATTCCTGCAGTCACGAAAGCTTCAAATCAAGATTAAAAGCCAAATGTCACGCCGACGGAGGATGTGGAAGAGCAAACGCCACGAGACGTTTTAAACCGTCGCGTGTAACCCAACGTTCGCGCAACGTGTGTGCACCGCACGTTTGTGAGGATAGCTTTAATTAAACCAACACAATCGACAACTATCCAGGAAAAGAAATACGTAAAAAAAAGTCATAACAACAATCATATTCTAACAGAGACGTCAGTCACTTGCAAGCCTGGAGTCCAGAAGGGCACTGCCCACTCAGAGTTGTCTCGCGACGGGAGAGTGTTGGAGGAGTTCTGTTGACGGCGCAACACACACATTGTATTTATTCCAAAGCTGTGTCGCAATTATAAAGATAACGCGTGCCGTGACCGCCACGAAAAGGCGAGACGTTGACACGGTTGTTGATGGTTGATTTGCAGTTTCGGCGACAAACACATGCACTCGTGTTTAAAGTGTTCTGATAACCTAATGTATTCAAGTTTATCGGGCATTGCTTTACGATGATGTATTTATGAAGGTATTCATGATTAAGCAAACGTATATCGAATGACTCAAATAATTATATTATCCATAGTATACATTATTATAATGAATACAAAAACGTATTTTAATTAATAGATATTTTACTTTGGCTTGCTCACTGAAAATTCCCCGACCAAAAAAAGCCTTTACATTGCCATAACTTATTCAGTAGTGAGAGATATGTTACCAGTTTATGGTGGTCATGTACCCTTGCATATCGTGCCCTGTGTGACGCTACCGCTGATGCGATTGTATTTGTCCCAGAGATCGAGTGAAATAAATACGTAGACAAAACACTTATCCTGAATTGGCCCCTCTCGTCTGAATCTGTGGATATCAAATTAAGTTTATTTCATCTGCCAAGATTACTTCGGTGGCGGTGGGGGGGGTCACGATTATTTGTAATGGAAGCTATGCTGGGTGTAGGGGCTATGCTGGGTGTAGGGGCTATGCTGGGTGTGTGGGCTATGCTGGGTGTAGGGGCTATGCTGGGTGTAGGGGCTATGATGGGTGTCGGGGCTGTGCTGTTTGAATCTGTCTAGAGAACGTAGCGGGCACGCCGCGTTAACCAACGCAGCAGCGATGTCTCAGTGGCGTCGTCCATCAGGAGTCGTCGTCGTCGGGTGAGATGATTCTCGCCACTCCCCGATGCGGGTTGATGCAGCGTCTCGACGCGACGGGCGTGTGTTCCTTTTCACCTGGCGAGATGTTAACTACCTCGCCTGGCGTACGGGAGGTCGTGGGTTCAAATCCGACCCTGCCGCCTGCTGTATATTGAGAGTCGGCGTGTCTCTCTCCCCGTGATCGCGTCGATTTTACTCCGGGTCGTTCGGGTTTTCCCTCCACATTTGTAAACGCGCCTTTCGACTTTTTGGCTGCTGTACATTTCCACTTGATAAGCCGCTTCGTTGGGATATCATTTATGATCGCCAGGTAGCTTCTGAAATCAAAATGGAAATAGCTCAGTTGGGCTTACCTGGTAAAATACAAAAACTACTTTTTAGTTTCATTTGTAGAACAGTTTAGTTACTTGAAAGTTTAAGCTTGGCCTTGAATAGCGGCAGGCAGTCGACAGCACAGTAGGGATGGGGACAGCAGAGGAGAAAGAGCGACCTCCCTCTGTGCGAGAGTCGAGCGGTCACTCGTTGCTTCAACTCGCTTCCCACTCTCACGCTGCCCGCGCAATCCAATTTTGCGCGTACACATGCGGTTATTGTCTGTCTTCTTGTACGACTTATAACACATTCCTGCGGAGGGAGCTGGTAGGAACGTTGGGTTGCTCGGTCAATGGCCAGGTTCAACGGCAGCGTGGTGTATTCCGCAAATATGCCCGACTGTGAAGGCGGGCACAATCCGGCGTGAGTAGGTTAAACGTTGAGTTTTATAAGGGCAACACGGGGTGACCAGCCCCTCCCCACCCAGCCCCACCCCTCCCACCCCCCACCCAGCCCAACCCAGCCTCTCCCCACCCTCCCCACCCAGCCCCATCCCTCCCATTTTTGCATGCACGGCGGACGGACGGACACAATAATCCCCTGTGGGCTGGTGGAACCAGGTGGTTCCTACCAGTATAAATTATATTCAAATAATATTTAACTTTTTCATTTCCAACCATAAAGAGCGGACAAACGTTCGTCCAAATGAGAAACAATGCAAACGGCGCAGTAAAAAAAAAAATCTTTTAAAAAACATAAATTTGTTCCCAAGTTGAAATGTCGACCAATGACGATGCTGCTGCCACGTTGCTCGCGTCCCGCCCGCTGTGTGGCCTTCGTGCTCCGCGCTCTCGAAGAAGGGGGGGGGGGGCGAGGTGACACGGCCACGCTGACAGTGGCGGTCGCTGGTGGTTGTTATTCGTGACGAGTACGACGGCTTTCAGCGCACGCAGCACTCCGAGTCATTCCTCCCCAGGCGATTGACCAAGCGAGCTTGCGAGGCGGCGAGCAGTCGCGGGGCAGTCCCCGTGCGCGCGTCTGCTGCTTTCTGCCTGCGTGGGACACGCAAGCTGCTGCCGATGCCGCTGGTGGCATCTCTCCCCGACGTTCTGTTCATCTGACAACGTCTCGCCGATGGTGTTTTTCCTTGGCGTGTGTGGAAGTGAATCGCTGCAGCTCAGAGATCGATGTCGGCGGCTGTGGGAAAGGAACACAAATGCCACTTTGTTCCAAGGGAGGCTCTGAAATAAGGAAAATGCTCCTGCTGCCGCTGCTGCTTTGCGTGAGCGGACAGCCAGCCTCATGTGTGGAACGAGTTCCTCCGTGACAATAACGGAAGGATTTTTTTTCCAACCAACGTCAATATATGTATACTGAGAATGAACGTGATTGATAATGGGCTCGAATTGTGATATATTTAGAAAAAAAATCGCACGTGACATGAAATACACTGTAATTAATTTTTCTAAGTGTGCATGACTCTTATTCAGCAGCGGCCTGCATTGCGTTTTCATTTAAAGATGTTTAAATCTATACACTAATGAAGTATGGAAAAATATACATTTTATGAGTACTTTAACTAGTTAGTTTAATGCGTCGGCTTTCGCGAGTGGTGGAGGGTTACGAGGGTTATGACACATTTATGCTTACGCGATCTAACCCAAAAACCTTTATTATTAATACTTTAACTACCCTGTACAAAACAAAATACATAACACATTTGCATTCATAATAGCCAAATAGCGACTCTTAACATTGAGTTGAAACACAAATGAGGTGGAATGGATAGCCAGCAGTTGAGTTGCACTGGCAGTATTATAACATACCTCAGCGGCCTCGTTAATTATAATACGCTAATTTTTTATACGCTAATTTACTGTGTCAGTCGTGCATAACAAAATGAGATGATGGTGATGATGATGATGATGATAATTACAGGTGGAACTAATCATCTCCCCCGCGGAGATTCTATGAGTTGCAAATCAGATTCAGGATTCAAGTCACGTGCAGGAAGGATCGTGGCAGGGTTGACATTGTAGCGAATGGTAGCGACTCTTGTGGCTGCGGTGGTGCGGTGAACCTACATCTCATACTCTTAGGTTCTTTCGGTAAAGTCACGTAGGTAAAAAATAAATAGTGAAAATAAAAAATAATAAATAATAAGGGGAAAAAAAGAAATAAAATAATAAATCACGACGTTTCGGAGGCAACACAAGCTTCCGTCTTCAGGCGGAACTGTCACAGCATCCTCCACCACTCGCGAAAACCGTCACAGCACAATTGCTGTATCAAGTAAAGAGAAGTCCCAAGAGACCCGACCTTATATATACTGGTTTTACCCACCCAGCAGCATAGCAAGGGGCTGCTTGGTCCTGACTTGCCTATCTGCTTCTGCCATCTACATGACAAAGGCTCCGTCCCAACAAGCAGCAGCCGTACTAACCATCTCACAACAACTACTCTCCCGCGGCCCATCCTGGCTCCTCCCCCCTTAACCAGTATATATAAGGTCGGGTCTCTTGTGATTTCTCTTTACTTGATACAGCTATCGTGCTGTGACGGTTCCACCTGAAGACGGAAGCTTGTGTTGCCTCCGAAACGTCGTAAATTTACTATTTTATTTCTATTATTTTTTCTAATTATTATTATTTATTTTTATTACTTATTTTTTACCTACGTCACTTTACCGAAACAACCTAAGAGTATGATTTCTTGCAGTCACGAAAGCTTCAAATCTAGAATTAAAACCCAAATCTCACCAGCAGTCGATCACGCGATCATTGAAAAACATTGATTCTTCTTTACACGTGTAATTAAATGCATGAATCGTTCGTCTATCAATCATTGCCTATCGATGAATTGATGGCATTGACGTCTGATGCAGACGTATTTATATACAACAACATTCGTTGATTTCTTGTATGCCGTGTCTCGTCTCAAAGACGGTCACGGCCGTCCATTAATTTAGCTCTGTCCATGATATTACTCAATCACTTGTTTTTGTTAAATGATGCTCCCAGTGGCGTCCAGCTGCTCAAATTGCTTCTTTAACTTATTTGGCTGCCTTTCCATTCTGCCCACAACGCAGTGCCGGATTCAGCTAGTGCGGGGCCTGTAGCATATACTATAAAGGGGCCCTAAATAAAAAATAAACACGTAAATATTAAAACACAATTTTTTTACTTACATAGTAGAGTAATTGTATTTTTTCCATTTGCTATATAGCCAGATAATACGACAAATCGCTGACCTTAAACACCCAGTCGTTCATAAAAGTTGAAGGCAGTATAGTACTATAGTAATAGAGCAAGTGCAGAATCACTGAACCGGAATTGAAAGCTTGAAAGCATTTAGCGCGGGGCCCTTGAAAGTACGAGGCCCGTAGCTACATGTGTAGCTACTTTTGCTACTCAGAAAATCCGGCACTGCCCACAACCCTGAAATGAAACTGGCTGGAGGCGGCGGTGCCAACTCGGAACTTTATTTCACCATGCTGCTCATTCCTTTCCATCGTCCTTGCTTGAACCGCCAAATATTGGGAATGATACACATAAACCAGGCCATGAATGGTAACACAACTTGTGAATAACTGAGGGCCCGCATTCGTGTGCATACTGATTTACATCCGACAATGGCATTAAAACAAGACGCATAACACACTTTGTATCATAAATAGCACAACTCTGTTATCGATGCATCAGTAACAATCATAATAAAACATGCACTTGATTTAAACCGAGTTTGAAGATGTATTTTTTCTGGAGAATCCTTACATTATAATTGTGATATTTGGACAATTCCATTCAATTAGTGCTTGTCTTCATATGGGAGGAAATCGGAGTACCCGGAGAAAACACAGTCATTTGTCACGAGACCGATATAAGGTTTTTTTTGCCGTTCCAGTTTAGTTCCAGGTAATTTCCTCACTCGTAAGTGTGTGGCGTGAAGAGAAGTCGCGGGTCGTTACCGGAGCCCTCCGAAATTAATTATCTCTGCCAGTGTGCGTGCCAGGGAGTGCCAGTTTAAAAGCCAATTTACATCTATTTCTTCCCCCTGCATGGACCCACTCTCTGGTGGTGGCTACGCTGCTGCTGCTGCTGCACATGGCTGCCTGTAATTCAGCGCTGCGGTGGCAGCTGCAGCGAGAGTTGGTGGATCAGCGCAAGCACGAATGTTGCGAAACTCCCTTCCCGTGGGCGTCGAGGAAGAGCTATACCCCTGGCTCGCCAGAAAAAAATGTGTATGGGATAGAGCGTTTCCCCCTCGCGCGCGTGGGTTTCTCCGGGTGCTCCGGTTAACACCTTCACATATAGAGGACCGCACAGCTTGGGCAATGGCTCGCGCCGGATCATCACGTGGCGGCTGCCTTCAC